GGTAGACCTGTGTAGGAAACAATAAGAAGGACTACTTTATGGCAAAGTTAGATTTACAAGACTTTTGCAACAACGCGATTAAGTAACTTGACTTGTCAAATGTGTAATTAACTACTAATCTGAAGAGCACCACCCACCCCAACAGAGTGTGTCAAAATTTTCTTTGTCAACCATCGCAAGGGTGAATCACACATTACCATTATATGAATCACCAAGTTTTTTCAACATATCAATGAGTGATTCAAGTACAATACAGCCAAATTCTGCTTATCCACTGTGTACAGACATCATGCAAAGCTTTTCTGCAACTTTTCACTGCACTTGTGTTTACAGTACATCATAGGCAGAGGCTTTCTAAAGCTTAAAGACTTAACATCTTGAATATCTAATATCAATATTTTAAATATCTATCCACATTATTTTTAGCAATGTTTAGTGTAGAACCCTCTAGTTACTGTTGTTCCGGCAGAGTGTTGTTGACATGCTATTTATTCCCATTTAATGTGTCTTTATTAGTGTCTTATTGATTTTACCCAGCTCTACTACTTAGTGGTGGTTGTTGTATCAGGCTTTTTATCTGTCTTTGACTGACCTGACCCCACCAACCCAAACCACTGCCAGGAAACAGACACATGCTTAAAAACATCTGGACTGCAGATGCAGCCCACATTGTATCTCAGTTTATTACCAGGAGCTCATCCATGCTGGTCTGACACTTTTCCAGGTTGATACGTTTGATGGCCACCTTCTCTTTTCTTGGCTTGCAGTACGCTGCCTGGACAACTGCAGTGGCTCCGCTCCCTGAGGAAAACAGCATTAGGGGTGAAACCATCACATTGCAGTAAAGCCTTGAACTTTTGAAGACAGCTTTTGCAACAGGACAGCTCATAAATTTTTTGTGCGTAATGTGAGAGGGTGGTATATTTGAGCAGAAACTAGTTTCTGACGCTGGGGACAATGGTCACTGACAGAATTAAACAGTTCTGTAAATTTGCAGCATCCATCTACATTTAACTGAATAATAGAAAACTGCAGTTAGATACTTCATCAGACCAACTCTCTTGATCAAAGTCATTAGTCATGTTACCTAAACCAGTACGAGTAGTTCACTATATGCTATATCATACCTTTTGCAATAACCACCTCCCACTTCAGCAACTGACTTATCTTCACGCTCTGTGGGCTAACGTGCCTTAGCTAGCCGTTTAGCTTCGTGCTTACTTACTAAGAAGCTATCTTACTTTAGCTCGCCAACTATCAGAAGCAGTTAATTAATTTGGCTTAGCCTGAAGGAAACCCTGCTGAGCTGTTAACCGTCCTGCAATGTAGCAACGGGTTGTAACTGGCCTGCTGTTAGCTAGACATGCGATGCTAGTTGGCTAGTGGCAGTTGGCAGCCAACACCGCTGTCAAGACAGGCTCGGCTGCTAGCATTAGCAAGCTAAGCTACTCACCTATCACCTCATTGAGTTCGTAGTCATCCCTATCGATTGACCAGGATTGAGAGGACTGGTCGTCTGCCATGGCGTCGCTGTTTAAAAGGTGTAAACAATGCTTCTGAATAAGACGCTGTCTGGTGTAATATCTTTGTGATTACTCCATTCGGCTCCGATGATGCTGGCTGCTGCTGTTCCGCTGACAACTCCTACCGCTCCTGTCAACACAACTTTACGCGCGACTGACGCAGCAATTTACGTACGAACCCAGGAAGAAGTACGAAGTTTCCGCCATCTTGAGTGTGGCAAAGTCTGCTAAACATCTGTAAAATCTCAAAACCTCGGAAACAGACAACATACTGTTACAAGTTATAGTGGAAGGACTATAGCATTAAATGAAATATGTTAGTATTTACAACAGAGATATGTTATTCTTACATTACCTGTAAAATTGTGTTCAGTACACCCAGTAGGGGGCGCTACTGCCTCTACTAAGAGTGTGTGTTTGGGGTTTTTCTTGCAGTTGAAAAGGGAAATTGGAGAAGTCTATCAAGAAAATAACACGAGCAGCATTCAGACCATTTTTTCATATAAAAGTAGCAATACTGCACAATAAAATGACTCAGAATTCTGTAAGTAACAAATGTAATGATTATGCAGAATGGTCCCTTAGTGTTGTAATATTCAAGTTTTGTACCATTATTATCAATGCATTAACATGCAAGCAGCCCTTAAATGCTGTAGTTGGTTGAGGTGGCACCAATTTAACTTATTCATAATGTTGTTTAATCTATAACAAGATATTATTTTAGAAACTGAAATGTTTTGTATGCAAAATCTTGAAAATTAGCCATTTAACAATAGCTATTGAGTATGTGGAGTAAAATAAACAAAATCCACTCTTATATGTAGTGGAATAGAGGTATAAAGTACTTTAAAATTGTACTTCAGTACAGTATATGTACAGTACATGTTTATGATTTATTTGTAAGATGCTTTGAGATCTCTGGTCAAATAATATCCATGTCATAATGTTTTATGTTAACACCAGTCCACTCTGCCAATAAGTTTCATGAGAAACAGATGGAGTGTGCTAAAACTCAACACACTGTAGTATCATAACTAAACTTAATTTTAAAAAAATGTAGACCTTTGTATTTGTGACAGATTCACACTAGGCAGTGGTTACATTGATTTGTATTTTTGGGACATGTCCTTTGGTAACCATGGGAATTTGTATAATGTATGACACTGAAACTGTGCCCTGAGACATGAGGATGTTTTGGGGAAAACCTGCAAAACTATGGCTGGTATCAATGGTATGTGAGGAAACAGCGGGGCCTGTTCTTGCTTGTTCTGAAGGCACAGACAGCGGGCAAAGACACAGACTTCATCAGCAAGAGAAATCGCTCACGATATTTCGAATAGAAGAAAAGTCACTCTTAATCGATTGGTCCCAAAGTTCTTTGATGACAACTTGCTCTATACCTTAGATAACCCTTATCTGGACTAACTGACAGTTGACAGGTGTGCAAGTATATGAAAAGTGAAGCTGAGATAAAGATCATATTTTCTTGTCTCTCTGAAAAGTAATAAAATACACATCTGACAGTTTCTTGTGCATTTAAGAAAATAACCTATGTCTTGTGATCTCAAACATGCCATGTCATGGAAACAAATCTAAAGATCATACTGCAGTCTGTTTTCCTGCCCGTTTCCCTGAACTTCGTGGATTTTGGACGTGGTCGACCCTTGCCAGGAAGCTCTGCCCCTGATGCTACATTAAAGCTCACTCATCCTGATGCTGACAGTGCGCTGAGGGTAAGCCAGGCCTGAAAGGGAAGTGCTGAGAGCCACAGGAGCCCCAGCGCCCCAGTGATTGCAGTGCTATTATCCTGCCAAGGCTAAGCTGCACATGAAAAGGAAATGAAAACACTTCATCTTCTCCATTCAGTGTAACCAATATTCTCAAAGTCACTGTCAACTATGTGGACTGGCAGCAGGCCAACACTGCTATTCATTTTGTTGTTTACATTTTGGTCAAATGAGGAACAGGTGTCCACATGAAAATACAATTACCAAAGGCTTTACCAGAAGTTGACTATAGACATGTGATGAGAGGAAATTTCCACACTGTATAAGAGTGTCTTTAGGCTTATGTGTGCTTTTCAGGTGATCGCCCCCTCCCTGTTTTTTCTCATCTAGAGTTTCTTTGTGTACAGACAACAGGATTATAAAAGACATGGATTTAAGACACATTGCTCCTTTTGGCTTGCAGGTGCCAAGGTGACCAGCTACTAATGTGTCATGCTTTAAATGCTGCATATAAAGTAACAAAAAAAAAGTAAGTTAACTACACCCATACCTGATGGCAAACGCTGGTGTTATGGTGTAACCTACCTACCTACCCTGTTGTGACATCAGCAGTGCAGCTTGCATGGCAGGCTTGTCAAACCGGTGTTGGAGCCTGCAGAAGTGCTGACACCATTCAGACTGCCAGGAGAAACCCACTTGTGTCGCCGCCTTTGCTGGGTTGTCGTCGTACTCGATTCAACAATCCCGGACCCAAGTTTTCTGGTCTACTTGCGCTCATGGAAAGAAAGAGCAGCTGCAGGTGAAACGGTGCATCAAGGTAAACGAGGAAAAACAAAAACTGACTACATAAAAAAAAAAGAAAAAAAAGACAACAAATTCAGAGAGGATGGAAACGAATGGGACGGAGAGGAAAAAAAACGGTAGGATACATTTTGGATTTCTGTTTATTGTGCGAGTTTGCAATTCACTGAATATTTCCTGGGCCACAATGACAGGTGAGCAAATTGGATCAGAGTGGCTTTTACTCGTTTTTTGTTTACAATTGTTGCCAACAAACGTTTTTCTTCACAAACTGTGAATATTTTTGTTGGAATAAGAGCACCTGTAGAGTTAAATGCATTTATAGCCAGCCAAAAGGTGTGGCCCCAGTCATCCAGTCCAGTTTCACCTTGTTGCAAACAAACAAGTGTTGTCAAACCAAAACCAGCGCACAGCCTGAAAAACAAACTCCTACTGCAGGCAACGTTACAGAAATATTTATCTGTTTTCAGCATTCAATGTGTCTGTTCACCTGTCCGCCAGCACCTTCAGCCTAAGATTTAAAAAAAAAAAAAAGGGAAAACCTGGTCGGGTTGATTTAAATCACAGATCTTGGTAGTATCGCGATATCACCACTAGGTGGAGCTCGTGAAGCAACAACTTCACAACTGGACACTAGTCTCTAACGTTATATCTTACATCGTTAGATTAAACGTATTGTTTAATGTAGTTATTCTTTTTCCCACTTTATGTGAATTAAATAGATTCACCTAGCCACATTTTAAATTAAATTGTACTTTCCTCTGACTTTAAGACAACTTTAACGTCTGCAAACTGTGATTCTGTGATATAGCAATCTGGCATTTAAGATTATTAGCTAGCTATTAGCCGGCTAGCAGCTAAAGGAAGCTAACACCTGTTTATTAGCTTAACTGTGTGGTTTATTTAAAGTTAAATACTTAGTATTTTGGTGTCTTAAAATGGTGTTACTGCTTTCTAAACTGCTCTTTTCCCAGAGACATCCGATGAAATGACTTTAAAATACCAGCATGTAGCATAAACCTGACAGAAGTTTTGAACCAGCCCCTCTTGCCGCTGCATGCACACATGTTGAGTAAGTACGTGGTTGGCTGTCAGCTGACCGCCTTGAGAGGAGTCCTGACAAATATGAGAAGTGAACTTTGAGTGCGGCAGTAACACGCCCTCTCACACAACTGGTCGGTCCCGGCGCCTTGTGAACAGTCTGGTAGCGTTTCAGCTCCGGGGTCCTGAAGGCATCATGCAATGCTTGAAAAGAGAAGCAAAACTCACCAGATCTGAGGAATTAGTCCGCAATGCCAGGAGCCAGAAGGCGATACAATTGAGCTCAAAGCTCCTAGGTAGGCTGCACTGCATTGAACGAAAGCAGATGGGTCAGACCACAGTACACACTTCGTTGTGAAAGTGAAGATCTCAACTTGTCTTTAATGAGTTGAGCTGTGAGGCTTTACATGGTAAAGGGCTTTTTAATTCATCCTGCCATGGTTACCTGCTTGCATTCACACTGTGAGTTGAATGCGGGTCAGAAGGACGCAGCAGAACTGAGTTTAAGGTTCTTCAGAAATTAAAAGTTTAAGTCTTCAGCAATGCATCGTGTTATCTTTTGGATTTTACCCTCTGCTTCCTCTTTCTCAGGTTTGGAGGGCGATCTGGACCTCCAGTTCCTCCTGCAGGGGGGAGATCTTCTCAAGGTCCGTTCCCCATCCTGGAAGAAGACCCGCTACTTCAGACTCCAGGAAGACTGCAAGACCATATGGCACGAATCCAAGAAATACTTCATGAGGAACCAGACCTGTGAGTGCTGTCCCAGCGTCCGACCTGCATGTGTGTGAGACCCCCCCCAGCAACACTCTTGCACACATCTGTCTGGTGTTGTGTTGGGCACGTCTCACACCTCTTCTTTACTTTTTTACTTATAGTTAGTGTCTAATAACATCAAACACATACAGCAGGGTTCAAATGTCCGAGACCACTTTCCCATCTGAAAGTGGTCTCAGACTTTATGTTTTCAGTGCTCATACAACCAAAACCATCAATGATCTCTTTTCTCGGGTCAGATGAATGTTTCCTTTATGGCTTATAAAAGTGGAGGACTGATCTCACAGCAATAAAATATCAGTTCTGTCTGAAAGACCTTGTGTTATCATGCACAACTGGGTCGCTCGTGGGATGTGTTTTGTGGGTGTGTTTGTAGAGATAGTGATTATTTTTATAGTGTGTGGAGGAGTGGTCTGTAATAACATCCATAAACTGTTCTCATGTAGTCACTATCTGATAACTGTATTATACTGATGTTTTTATTGCGGTTGCTATGTGTGATAACATGCAACCCTTAAAGCTGCATCTGAGCCCCTCTGCACATTGGTGACTTCAGACATCAGTTCCTACATACTTGTAAACTGCAAACAGTGGCTCATGTTTACCAAGCAGGCTGGTCAGTGATGCCTGAAGATACCAAGATTACAAAGGAGCAGGTTTCTGAGCAGAACCAGACACACTATATCAGTCCTACAGCGAGGAAAATCCTTCACTAAATAAAATACTGGAAGCATAATATAACATGCAGCTTTTCTCCCGTCATCAGTCACACTTGACGATATCTCTGCGGTGAGAATCGGCCGCCAGTCGGAAGGTTTGAGGAAGTACACAGAGGAGCAGGTGGAGGGCCGCTGCTTCTCCATCATGTTCAAGGGCCGCCGCAAGAACCTGGACCTCATCGCCAGCTCGGAGGAGGAGGCCAAGCAGTGGGTCAGCAGCCTGGAGAAATTGATCTCCAAACTAAACAACCTCAGCTGCCAGAAGAAGACAGAGCAGTATCCTTGTCATGATAGTATAAGTTATACTGTGAACATGACGAAGCCCTGCCACACCTGCTGCACACCCTGATGTCATTTGATATCAGTCCACAACCACCACAAGGCCCCGTATGATATGAGTGATAGTGTATTTGAAAATGAATATATCCAATTCCTTACATGAAAAACTTTTCAGCTGGATCCTCAGCTGCCTGAGGAAAGCAGACAAGAACAAAGATGAGAAGCTGAGTCATTCAGAGGTCAAGAACTTCCTCCGTCTGATCAACATCGAAGTCGACGACGACTACGCAGATATGCTGTTCAAGGTGATGCCCTCAGAGCTTTTTAATGCTTCCTAATGATGAACATCCCTAATGATGAACATCCCGTAGAAAACACCGCTGCAGGTTAATGTTTTGATTAAAGGGAAAGAAACACCAAATTATGTTTTGAGGCGTTTCACCTAAACTGAAGTAATCCATGGATGTAGAGACGGAGTTCTCATTATAAGAAAACATTAAGAGGAAAACAGTGTTAACTTGATATTTTAGGCCAGTTGTGATGTTAATTAAATACAGTTCTCTTCCACAATGATGTGTGTGTGTGTGTGTGTGTGTGTGTGTGTGTGTGTGTGTGTGTGTGTGTGTGTGTGTGGTAAAGTTGGTTGAATGTTAATTGTGCACTAACCACCATCTTACATTTCCATCATATAGGAATGTGACAAATCAAACTCTGGATACCTGACTGGAGAGGAGATCGAACATCTGTATGAGCTGTTGACCCATCGGGAGGAAATCGACGTTATCTACGGAGAGTACGCTAAAACCACCGGCTTCATGAGTCCTGAAAACCTAGTGGACTTCCTGATGAAGGAACAGAGGGAGAAACTTACGCTGACAGACGCAAACAACATTATCGAGAAGTACGAGCCGGATGAAAATGGTCAGTACCTTATCTGAGATGACATGCTTTTGTTTTGGGTTGTTACTCCATTGTGTGGTTAGCAACCCTGGTGATTCAGCTCCGCTGGGGTGTCCACACAAATGCTCCAAAGAAGCTGGGAGGACTGGAAACCAGCAGGGCTGTATAACTCTGGTATCATTCATCACTTTTAGGGAATGATGTAGGGTTGATTCTGTGTTTCTTTCACATTTTAAACATTTTAGAGTTTTGTTATTTAAGAATGAACCTTCAGAATCCATTTCTGGATGCAGCATTTAAATGAGGTGAGATCCAAACCACAGGGCAATAGCTCGGCTCCCTCCGTGTATTCATAACATAAGCTTTGCAGCATCGATCTGTGTGCAAAACTCAAAAAGTAGCAGGAAACATTTGACCAAGAGTTACTGCTCTGTGGGTGGGACCGGGATTAATGCCAGTGTACCGCTCTGGTGAGTAATTGTAGATTAAACAGACATGAGTTTTCAGTGTAGACAAAACAAAAAGCGATAATGTGTTATTTCCAGTGCGCTGATGCTACTGCGAAACTGGCTGTAAGGAGTGAGTCATAAGGACAGATCGAAAACATTAGCAGATTGCATGCTGGGAAGCTAAGCAGTGAGACAGGCCTCTCACACAGCAGCTGGAGCCTATTAATATTAACCTACAAGATAAAACTAAATACATGCAGTCTGCAGTGATAACCACTCATTCAGTGATGGTAGTGCTCATAGGAATAAGTGATATATTACATGACTGTTTTGCAGACATACACCTCTTGCACTTCAGCAGGAGAACAGAAACCTGATCGTCTGAAGGGGAGATGGCATGACATGACATTCACACACTTTGTCCATCGATTAAAAACTGATCCGCAGGTTGTTGTTGCTCTGATGCACCACTGTCTCATCAGCTGACTTTGCTCTTGTGTTCTTTCAGTCAAGCAGAAGAAGCTGCTGTCCAAAGATGGCTTCCTCAGGTACATGCATCAGCCAGAGGCCCTGATCCTCAATTCAGATCACAAGGAGCTGCACCAGGACATGAGCCAGCCCCTCAATCACTACTTCATCTCCTCCTCACACAACACCTACCTCATGGAGGACCAGCTCAAAGGGCCCAGCAGCACAGAGGCTTATGTCAGGTAACTTTCCTCCAACCTCTAAGGCTCGAGTCATTTCAGCTGCTGTAGCTGTAAATTATTGTATTACATGATATTTTCATCATATTTTATTGGATTTTACACATTTCTTGGTTGATATATGTTGGATATGACACTGGGAATTATATGTGTCACTGTATGTGTTTATCTAAAATCTTTTCCCGTGATTTGCTGCACAAATTCATTTATCTCAATCATCTGTCGCCATAGTTACACTGACAGTGACGGAGCGGTTTGTTAGTGCAGATATTCAGTCACTAACAGTGGCTGTGACTCTCTCAGGGCTCTGCTGAAGGGCTGCCGCTGCGTAGAGCTGGACTGCTGGGACGGATCGGACGACGAGCCGGTGATCTACCACGGCTACACACTCACCTCGAAGATCCTCTTCAAAGACGCCATCAAAGCCATCAAGGAGTACGCTTTCAAGGTGTGTGTCATCGTGCGGCGTCCAGTGGTATCCAGTATATTGTTGCGTAGTTGTATAGTTTAATGTGTAAAAACTCGTCTGTTCTGCGTCACACCCAGACGTCCGACTTCCCGGTGATCCTCTCCCTGGAGAACCACTGCAGCGTGGAGCAGCAGCAAGTCATGGCCCACCACATGAGCTCCATCCTGGGCAGTGCACTCGTCACCTCTCCCCTGGGGGAGGGCATGCCCACAGAGTTCCCCTCTCCTGAGGTCGGTATTCACTCTTACCTCTAGATAGACTTTATTTTTGTCCTTTGATGAAAGCTGAAGACTGTTTTATATTTTTTTTTTTTTTTCTAGGAATTAAAGGGGAAGTTCCTCGTCAAAGGGAAGAGGTTAAACAAACTGGAAACCATCTTTGCGTCTGAGGCAGCAGCGGCTGATGACACCGACGTGACGGAGGAGGATGAGTCAAATGATGAGGACGAACAGAAGGAGGAAGAGAAAAGCAAGGTGGGAGTTAGATCAAGGGAGAGCAATGAACGGATCAATTAAAACAAACTCATTAGCAGATATGTGATTTTTACTTACCTTTAAATTCCATTTAATGTGTTGAAGAAAAAGAAGCTGAAGCTGGCGAAGGAGCTGTCGGACATGGTGATCTACTGTAAGAGCGTCCACTTCCACGGCTTTGAGGACGCCAGAACAAACCAGAGCTTCTACGAGATGTCGTCCTTCAAGGAGGGAAAGGCCGTGGAGCTGGCAGAGGAGTCGGGTGAGGAAGACCATGGGCTGAATTCACTAAAGTGTTTTGAGTGATGAGATTTGTATTCAATAAACATTTCTCATCTAATTTCCTTTCTTTAAAAGACTTGGTGAAATCAGGTCTCATGTTTGCATGTTCGTGTCAGCTCATCCTGTGTCGACATATCCTGTTGTGTCTCATTATACTTGAGAGGGAGACACTGTTGAACAGCAGCCGTCACAATCAAGTGCACATCACATGTACTGTATCTTGTGCCGCTAGATGATACTCTCTCCTGTGTGATGACACGAAATGATGCTATTTTGACCCTTTGGTCTTGATGTGCTTTCTGCAGCGAATGCCTACGTCCGTCATAATGTGGACAAGCTGAGCCGCATCTACCCAGCAGGCTCCAGGACCGACTCATCCAACTACAACCCAGTGCCCCTGTGGAACGCCGGCTGCCAAATCGGTACCTATTGATGACACCGGCGGGGAATCACAAACTATGTCCCCCGAGGGAAAATCCTAAAGCTGAACTAATGAGAAACAGTTTATAGATCACTGTCCTCAGTCATCTTAATATTTCCTTTTCAGTGGCCCTGAACTTCCAGACGACCTGCACAGACATGGATGTGAACCAGGGAAGATTCCTGGTGAACGGGAAGAGCGGCTACATCCTGAAACCAGCCTACATGAGAGACACAGCCACAGACTTTGACCCCATCACTCTGACGCGAGGAAACTGGCTGAAGCACAAAACGCTCCATATCATGGTGAGGATTGTGAACACACACACACACACACACACACACACACACTGGCATTACTCCAATGCATTTGCTGTTGCACCCTGTTCAAAGTCCTGAGTTCATATTGTGAAGGATATTTTTTTTATCTGGCGTGATGTGTCTCCACCTGTCACCAGATTATATCGGCCCAGCAGCTCCCCAAAGTGAACAAGAAGAAATCCTCCATAGTGGACCCGCTGGTTAAAGTGCAGATATTCGGAGTCCCGGCTGATGTCGCTGAGAAAGAAACCAGTCCTGTTGAAAACAATGGTATTATTCTTTCAACACTGCGTTTTATAATGTACTTTTATATCTCAATACAGTTTACGAAAGGCAGATATTTGTTATATTCATATTATTTTGTATTTTTGGGGATATAATTTCCTAATTCTAGCAGATTATAAGATCAACACAGCCAGTGTAATATAGTTACATTGTGTTTGACATTTTTTCAGTATCTGGGGTGACTTCAGGAATATCTAGAGGCATGGTAAAAACTGTCTCTACCAATAAAAGCCTCAATCAACCAGAATGCATTGCTGCCACAACACTTCAGTCGGTTGTAAGACGGTTGCTTTTTGTTGACTGGGGGAAAACTCTGCTCTGCTTACACCATGTGTTTGTCTATCAACACTTTAAAACCACTGCTGCACACAACTAATGTATTCACAGCCTCTGGGGGTTTCCAAAATGCATTCTGGGAAATGTTGGAACCCTTTGAAGTAGACGAAGCAGGTTAAAAGATCACAAAATAGCTCTGGGAATGTGCTGAGCATCAGAAATTAATGATGCGGCACAACCGTGGAACATCAGCATATATTTCTCCATGTCTTGTTTCAGGGTTCAACCCTGCGTGGAATGAAAACTTCCAGTTCGATGTGTATGTGCCAGATCTGGCACTACTGCGCTTCTTGGTGGAAGACTACGACTCGACGTCCGATAACGAGTTTGTTGGACAGTTCACACTTCCATTCAACAGCTTAAAAATGGGTGAGTTCAGCATCTGTCTGAAGATGTTTGTTATATTAATCAGGTCCATTTTTCCTCACTGTAACCCAATGATTTAAAACCACTGATAGTTCTTTGTCTTCACACTTCATAAATGAACAGACAGGAACCCCCCCCCCCCTCTGGTGCAGCATAGAGAACTCAATTCACACGCTGCACAAAGAGCTTTTCATATTCTCCCTTTTCTCATCACTGACTGCAGCCACTTTGTGTCTCCACACAGGATACAGACATGTGCCTCTGCTCAGTAAGAACGGAGACCGTCTCCCCTCAGCCGGACTCTTTGTGCACGTCATGGTCCTCGATGCTGAGTGAGACGTCACTGCCTGACATACGGACACTAGGACCTCCATTACACACTCTTGTCTTAGCTATTTTTTAATTAGATTTTATATTGTTTTTCTTTTTTTTTTGTGCTCTGTAGTTTTAGTTCATGATTAACTTATTGGCTTCATTCCAGAAGTTTGACCAGCTAGTGTAAAAGTTAGACTACATTCTTCTCAAAAGTGAGACAAAAGTGCCACTTAAAACTAAAGGTCTCCAACTGCACGTGGAGCTGGGTGTCAACACGCCGACACTGCACAAACACACTAGGTTTACTGGATTTTATAAGACTCTTGATGATGATGTGACATTATACAAACTGTTTTAATTGGTTTGTATTTGTTGCACTAGTGTTGAACCACAGCTTGTGTCCCTCATCTTTGGTCAGTTAATGTATTGTCTATTTAAATCTTTTTATTCAAATGTCCATTTTATGAATTCTGGAGAAACATAAGCCAATATAAAAACTATGTGCTTCGTCTTCATCAGTAATTGTAGTCATCAAGTATGATTATTTTACATGTAACATCATCATGACAGCTTCTTTTTGCTATCTTTTTATAATCAAGATGAAGATAAAAAATTTAAACATTTAACATCTGTCTCCATCTTTTTCTTCAGCACTTTGAATAAAACCGTGTTTCCACATGGATTAACTTTGAACCTGTATTCATGTAAAACTGTTAATATAAACCTTATTAATGAAATAACACAGCTTTATACTTGACAACCCGTCAATGGTGTTCAATAATAATGACAGTAACAAAGCTCAGTAGGAGCCTGCAGTGCATACAAAACCAAGTAGCTACCTTTTTTTTGCCTCTGTATTTTATGCAAACACCAATAGAAGGAAACCTGTTTGAGGTTGAGCTACTTGAGCCCTTCCACAGATTAAAACTGTTACCTAGTGAACTTTGAATGGACACACCTTCGGTACACAGAGCGCCAGTCAAGAGGTCAGGGAGTTGCTGCATATAAATTGCTCATGGGTTAATTCACTGTTGAACGGCAGGAAAGCCTTCGACTAACGTAAGGTGACTTCATGTCTTCAGCTCTTAGAGTGACTGTAAGAAATATTGTATATGAGCAATGGATCACATGACTACTTAAATGTGAAGGAGTTTGTTCTTACTGATTATAACATAAATATTACCCATGTTGCAGTTCAGCTCTAAGGAGCGAATGTCGCTGACTGAGTGAGTGATCGTAAATAAAAACCAGCCGAACGCCACGTGACTGAGTTGGAGTCTCAATGAGACCTCCCTCTCCAGGTGATGCAATTCACTTCACCTGTATATTATTAATTCATTGTTGATCCAGGATCAGGACGCCAGACACACAACTTGAAACGAATACTAACATTGCTCTTTATTTGCTGAATTTGTAAACAGGCAACTGTTTAACAAGTTTGCCATATCAACATAAAACGTTTACCAGTTTTGTTTACCGCTTGTTCACACAGCACTCAAGTGACCAGAAAAATATTATTGTAAGAGATCAAATAAGCTTATAGTAGTGAAAAAAAGGCTGAGAAAAAATGAGTCTGTTTGCCATTAGTCTGCTGACAGAAGACGAGCAACATTTCTCCATAAAAATGTGCTTTATTGTGACATATCTGTAAGGAAATTAATGGCAAAATAAATACGTTGACTGTAAAATACAGTAATAGGACACAGTAACATTCTCTCTCATGACTTTGAGTTTCATATGAAGTCAGAGAAAACAGTGGAAACCTCAATCACACCAGACTAAAGATGATCTTTGGCCTTAATTCATGTATCAGACATTTGAAGATAAGGAAAAAAAATAAATAAAAAATAGACATGACCGAATTGTTTCAATGAAGCTTTTTATTATGGAAAGAAAGAAAAAGAAACTGATGCTCAGGATGACAACACGCTGCCAACACTCAAAGTAAGCCAACAAGAACAAAAAGTGAAGAACCTGATGCAAAAAAAAAAAAGAAAAAAGAAAAAAGAAAACAAACAGTGACTTGAACTCAAGTGTTGTAGAACTTTGGTGTTAAATCAATACAAAATGATCAATGTGTGATTACGAGTGAGGTGATACACACACACACAAAAAGAAAAAATGTAAGGACGCACGCACGCACACCCACAACACACACACACAACACACACTCACACTCACACACACACACACACACACGTCCCCTGATAGGAAAGACGAGACCTGACTGAGAATTCTTACCAAAAGGCAAGAGAAAGGGACATTACAGATATGAAAGAAAGACAAACAAAAAGCTGGATACAATGGGTAATATGCAATTTTTCAAACCAAATACTGACAAAAGGTAGGTAGAAAAATATCACAATGATACAAACAACATTTTCAGAGAAAGTTAATCATTGAGAGGTTGTGAAGAGTGGACCAAACACTTCTTAGAAAACAACATTGCACTGAAACCATCATCATGAGCAGAGCACTCATCACCAACACAAATGCTTATGCAAAAGAAAGAAAATGGTTTAATACGCCTGTAGGAGCAGCAGCCTTTGAACTGGAAAAAAATATGGTGGAAATTATGAAGTAGTGTAGGTCTTTTTACTATAACATCATGACCCATAAACCGAGCAATAGAGCAAGTAAGGTTTGTTGGGGGGGTTACAATCCCTAGATGGCACGACGGAGCTTGTTCATGCTTCATTGCTGAATTTAATGTTTCACAACGTTAATTCACCTGACCACATGTGGCCGAGCCGTTCTCACACTCCATAAGAACATACTAATGAGACGATGCTGAACTGTGTGGATGTAGCCTTGGAATTAATGAAGAAACATTGCTTTGTGCCTCCACGGGCAGTAAGGCATTAATGCCATGGTGAGGTTCTTCACAGTCCTTTTGCAGTGGCCCAGTATTTTCATCTGGAGCTGCCCCACCCCTCTAACATGTAGAGGCCAGGACTGAGCACCCATCTGTAGGTTTGGAAGGCGTCCTCTTTCACTTCCTTCCACAACAAAAGCTGACAGCTATGGCAATGTAGTTCACTATACAAGGTTGTTTGGCTGCTGTTGCTGAAGTAGACCAAGCAACATTCAAGTTGTTTCAGTATTTTAGTTTCAGAAATAATAATGAGATAAATCAAAATGTTATTTATAACATGACTAAAAAGGACTATGGGTTATGTGTACGTCCAGTTTTTGGATCAAAATGTGAAAAATGGTTCACATGAACACTGAAAGTCACTGTGATGACCAGGCCGGCGTTACTGTTAACAAACCTTTCCTGGCCGGTCTCGTCAAGTGCTCTAGACACCCAAACCAAACACTTGGGATGGAAACGCCCCCCCAAAAAGGTTTATTGCCATGGTAGCTAATGTTGCAGCATTCGGTTTGCGTGGCTCCTTCTCAAAAAGGTAGGCACTGAGGTGAAGAGCAGTTAAAAAGAGTCTGGGAAGGTAAACACCACACGTTGTCTTCCACTGGTTTTACACCGGGGCTGGGCGGAGCCACGCCTTCACCGTGTGTAAATCAGGCGAGAACGGTGTGATTTCAACACTGTCCAGACTCAATCTGACACGATCCTATATTCCCTAAAGACACTAACCTCATGAAAAACATAAAAACATGGCACTCGACCCATTTACTGTGAGATCCCGGACCATTTGAAGCAACAAAAGGGATACCTTCGCAACTGTGTACAATTCTGGAGAAAGATCACCCCCTAAGGGTGGAGCTGCACCACTTAAATGTGCCCAAAAAAAATAAAAAATGTGGGCTAAAAGCTAGCTGTCTGATAAGCATAACATGACAAACAAGGACCTCATAACAATAAAAATATACAGATGAATTTGACATCTATTTGTCAAAAAGAATAAAACCTATAATACTATACTAATGGTTTAACAGTTACAGTTGAACCCCAGTTAAAGATATGAAGCCTGTTAAAAAATAATTTCCTTATTTGGCAAATAATAAAATGAGATAAGGGGGGAGGGGGGGGGAGTAATGTGGGAGACAGAAAAACAAATGGCACAATTTTTATCTGAGTTTTCAGATCAAAACTATCAAACGCAAATTGCAAACATACTCCATCGTCTAAAACAAAGTAACTATTTCTACGTATAATGAAAGCAGAAAGAAACAAAGTCACATCTATATAATGGCACAAGCATACTGGGAAAAAAAATAAAATAATATGGAGACATTTACCCAGCGTTTGATGATCAAAAACTAAAGTCAAAACTTTTGTATAAAGATACTTCTGTGTCCACTTTAAAGCATATTGTGTGTGAAAAGACTGAAGTACTCTGGAAATATGCCGTGTACAAAATATCTCCCCATATAAACAACATTCACACAAGGCACTTCATTCGGTAAGAAAAGAGAATCACAGTCCTTTCTACTACCAGAAACTGCCTGCATAGCAACAATACGAGGACAAAATCTTTTCAGACTTTTGTGTGGTACCACAAAAGAAGGTTCAGACAAAAAGATGTTTTTTTTTCTTTTTTTTTTTGGTTTTAAAATAAGCACTTCACCAAATAGTAAAACTTTGTTGGTTTGAAAATAAAGACCAGAGTTCATACCTCTTAGCATTTTGTCCCCCCATATCACCAACGTAGGACGCTCTGTACACTTTCTGGTGTGGTTTTTGTGAGACACAGTGCTCCTGGGATATTGAGTGTGTTTTTTTTTTGTTTTTTTTCTGATGGCACACAGAAGGCAGCCAGTCACCAGGAGATGAGAGCAGAGACAGGATTAAGGTTTCCACAGTGAGACTCCAAAGCGTCCCCTTGGGGCAGAGACAAGAGGGGCGCGTGTGGGAAGATCTGCCTGAGTCTGAGAGATGTGGTTGTAGAAAGGGGCAGAGATCGACAGAGAGAGGAGCATGGAGAGCACAGGCGGCGCCGCGATGTGTCCTGCTACCTGCTTCTCAGATTCTGCAGGACTCCGTAAACCTCTTCTTCTTTGCTGAGTCCTTCAAAGAAAGGCAGCAGGTCCAGCAGCTCTGTGTCATTCATGTCGTCAAACCAGGACTGGACTGGGACCTGGGGAGACGAGGGAAACCACCTCCAGTTACCGTCTGTTTAAGATCTACTCAGATTTTGTTGCTAAAAAGCGACCAGAAGTAAATTGTAGTATTAACTATAAATGTTTTTCTTATTGTCTGAAGTATTTTTTTAATGCATTATTGTGTAGAATTGTGACATGTTACGAAAAATACAATATTATGGAAGATAATATATATTATATTAAGGTAGCACACAACGGGAGCCCGGGACTCTTGGTTATGGGGCAAATTCACAGGATAACAAGAGTCTTCTAACTGTTTTGTTAATGGTTTATGACTCACAGCATTTTCTGGGTGGAAAATGTAAGAGGCAGGTGAATTGTCAATGATGATGACATTGTTGAGCTCTCGTCCCAGCCGGCTGAGGTCTTTGACGTAGTTTCCTCTGTGAAAAACACAGGATTCTCTGAAGAGTCGCTCTCGAAACACACCCCACTGGTCCAGCAGGTCTGCCACAGGGTCTGCATACTGCAAAACAAATATCAGCCACATCCTGAATATTCCAGCCAACTGCAACAATGCATTCAGAAAGTACTCAGACCCCCTTCTTCCATA